ATCAGGGAGTGGGCTTGGTGGTGCCAGTATGCCCCCAATACAGGGGACAGGCCCACTGCCCTCACCAGGGTACCAGGGAACCCCAGCTGCACCAGAGGAGGGAACAGAGGCGTCCAGGCAGGACCAGCCTCACTGTCATATAGAACCAATCAGGACAGCTGGATAGGCAGAGGCCTCTCCCTCACACCCCTACTCAACGGCTGCCCTGTGTCTCGGGCCTTGGCTGGGAGCTGCAGACTGTGATACTGAGGACTGCTCACTAGCTTGCTGCCAGGCTCACATTCAGCTATTTTGATTAATTTAATTTTGTGTGTATGAATGTTTTGAGTGCATGTATGTAAGTGTACCATGTGTGTGCAATGCCTGTGGAGGCCAGAAGAGGGTACTGGATCCCCTGGGACTGGAATTACAGATGGTTGTTAGCAGCCATGTGGTGCTGGGAACTAAACCCAGGTTCTCTGCAAGAGCAGCCAGTACTCTTAACTGCTGAGCCATATCTCCAGCCCCCGCAGCTAGCTTTCTTATACAGCCCAGGCCCACCCGTCTTGAGATGGCACATCCCACATCGATCATCAGTTAAGAAAATGCCTCACAGACACGGCCACAGGCTAGTCTGATAAAGGAAATTCCCCAGTTCAGGTTCCCTCTTCCCAGATGACTCTAAGTTTGTGTCAAGTTGACAGTTAAAGCTAACAATGACACTTGTGCACATGTGCATATATGTCTGTATACGCATGTGTATAACTGTGTGTGCATATACATATATCACACAGACATACATGCACAACACATGCATGTGAGACACACATGCATACCCACTTATACATATATAAAATTGCATGCATACACACATACACCAGAGACAGATATATATGTATAGGCACATATACGTAGCATACTCATACATGTCTATGTGTGTGCATATACAAACACATTTACTGTCTACACCGGGGCACATATGTATGTATGCCATGCATGTGCACACATAGGACGTGTATGTACACACACCTGTGCGCACGTACACACACATGCATTCACACACGTGCACCACGGAATGTGCGAAATGGACACGGGGCCACTGACAGGCCCCCAGCGACAGGACTAGAGCAACCTGAGTGACAGAATGGATGGTACTGCATCGAGTTAGAACCCCCGGAGGAAAATAAATTCCCAGGGTCCACAGAGATACAAACAAACGACTGAAGAAAGACGCTCGGAACTAACCCTCCTGCAATTCCAAAGAAACAATGTGTGCCCCTTCAAGGAGTCAGAGCACCCCATCCTGAAGCGCAGATGGCATATGGTGACCTTCCTTCAAAGACACAGCGTCCAGCCTACACTCTCTGATCTGGCCCGCCCTGTGGTGATGACCTTGATCTGCTGGCTGAGGCAGAGCCTGCTGGGCTTCCCCATAGTGCTGCTGTTTCTGGGACAGGGTGGGGAGAGCCAGTAGCACTGTGATGAGAAGCACACTTGGTCTCTCTGTGCTTGCCCCTCACACCATGACCTCAGTCTCCCTAAGAGAAAACAGCAGAGCAATCCCAGCAGAGGCACATCCTACGCAAACCCTAGCCAGTCTCCCCACTGCCAAGGTCATCTGAAACTAGGAAAGTCTAACAAACTGTCACTCAGGAGGAGCCTGAGGAGATGCACACAAGAATGTCATGTGTGACTCTGGATCCGACAGAGGACACTGGGTAAAAATTAAGGAAATGTCAACAAACTATGGACCTGTGTTGATAGGGCGACTTACACTTGGTACAGTGCTTGCCCAGCAGGCAGGAAGCCCTGAGTTCCATCCCCGGCACTGCATAAACTGGACATGGCAGTGCACAACTGTAATCCCAACACTTGGGAGGTAGAGGCAGGAAGACCAGAAGTTCAAGGTCATCCTCAGCTACATAGGGAATTTGAGGCCAGCCTGGGCTACATGAGAACCTGGCGCCCAAAAAAAAATGGGGGCTGGAGAGATGGCTCAGAAGTTGAGAGCACTGGCTGCTCTTGCAGAGCCTGGATTCAGTTCCCAGCACCCACATTCCAGTTCCAAGGAACCCAAACACCCTCGTCTAGCCTCTACAGGCATTTCACAACACGGGTGCACTTACAAACATGCAGGCAAAACACTCATGCACATAAAATGAACAAATCAAAAGGAATCATTTAAAAACGATTTGTTCACAATGGAAAAGAAGAGGGGAAGGAGGGAGGAGGGGAGCGGGAAGGAGGTAGGTGGGGAGGGGGAAGGAGGGAGGTGGTAGAAGGGGCCAAGATGGTCACTTCCACACTGGTTTTTGTTTTTTACTTTTGCTTTTAGTTTTTGACATTGTCTCATTCTGTAGCCCTGGCTGGCCTCACACTTGTGGTAGTCTTCCTGCCTCAGCCTCCCAAATGCTGTGATGACAGGTGTGAACAGACACATCCAGTTTAGCTGCACTCGTTTTTCAAAGACAAAGTTGGCCAGGTAAACTAGGACTGGTGGCACAAGCCTGTGATCTCAACACTGGAGAAACGTAAGCAGGGGGATCATCCTCAGCAACATAGCACACTTCAGCTAGCCTGGGCTACATGAGACCCTGTCTTAAAAAATTAAGTTGGCCAGATGTGGTGGTACTCACCTGTCACCCCAGCAGTCAGGAAGGAGGGGCAAGAAGCTTGTAAATTCTGACCTCCCCAGGCATTGCACAACATGGGTGCACTTACATACATGCAGGTAACACATTCATCTATATATATAATTTTAAAAATTATAAAATTTTTAACTGAAAAAAGGGGGTTGGAGAGGTGGCTGTGTGGGTAAAGTGCTTGCCACACAATCATGAAGGCCTGAGTTCAGATCCCCAGCACCCATATAAAAGCCAGGCATGGTGGTGCATCCCCATAACCTCAGCTCTGGAGGACAGACACAAGTGAATTCAGGGGCTTGCTGACCAGCCGTTCTAGCCTAATCGGTAAGCTCCAGGTTCAGTGAGAGGCTCTGTCTCGAAAAATATGGCGGAGAGGGACGGAGATGGAGAAAGATACCCAAGACACTAACGTCTGGCCTCCACATGAGCGCTCACAGGCAAGTGCACCCTCACACACTCACACCACACACACTTTAAAACTTAAAAGTGCAGAGAACCGGACCACCCGCCCACCACCAGAACCCACCACCAGAACCCAGCCTGGCTCCAGACACCCACATCTGTCCGCCTGGGGAGACCGTCAGCAGCAGCCCAGGGCACCAGCTCCCGGCTCATCTGCTTCCACATTCAGAGTCAACATGGTGCCAATCGGCTTTTATCAGAACTGTAAAAAACAAAAAATGGGTAGTTTGTATGAAACGCAACTGGTCTGACATAACGGAGAAAAACTCAGACTTACAATGCCGGAGGGCATACCTGCTCAACGTCGATCCATACTGCCAAGTCACAGTAAACGAGGCCCTCACTCTGCCCACCCCACCAGCTACCCGCCCGAGCCTACTACCTCACTCCCGCCTGGAAGTCAGTAAGTCCCATGCCCTCGCTGCTTAAACCCAGCAAGGCCTCACAGACCCCAGATCCCATTATCAGCTATGGTGTGGCCCCGACAGAGTAACAGCAAACTCCAATGGAAACTGAGTCAAGACGCGTGGACCTGTTGTCCTTGGGCAAGGCGCCTTGCTCTTTCCCATTCTTCGAACCCAGAGAGAGAAGGGGCAGCCTGGGGTCAGAGGCACCAGCGGCAAAGAGCAAACGTGAGCTCTAGCAAGGGGCATGACTGTGCTTCCACCCCATTGGCCAGGACCAGGTCATGTGACCAGCCCTTGCCGCACAGGATGCTGGGACGTAGGCTAATTCTTGGCAGCCATCTTGCTATTTAACTCAATAGCTCTGTCCGATTTACAAAGCCCAGACCCCTCCACGGCCTACAGGCCCTTGGGAGAGCCCTTACCTCCCGGCCCCAGGAACTCCCTAGGCTTCACACCTCTCCCAGGAAGGCTTCCTGTCCTGGCTCCTCTAGCTAGTGAATCTGTAGGTCTCGGCAAATGCCAGAGGCATCTTCAGGGCTCTACCCCAAACCTAGTCAACTAGAAGCGCCAGGTGTGCTCTCCTGAGCAGCCCACTTGGTATCTCCTGCACTGGGGTCTACATGATCAGACACACCAGGAGAGGAGTCACAGCTCTGCGGGAGTCCTGAGCCCAGCTCTGTGTCAATAGTGTCAGCCTAATCCATGGTCCTCGACCTCCAGTGCACAGAAATATCATGGACTCTTAAGGCCGGATGGAACCAGAAAGTGTGTTCTCATAGGTCTGAGAAAAAGAACCTGCATCCTCTGTATCCTGGGCTGCGCCTCAGCAGAGGCTGCCCATAGCTGCTGTGATGTCAAGAGTGGAGGGTGGTCACTTGATGGCGGTGTCTGTGAGGAATAGGAGTCAGGAAGGAGACAGACTGCTGCTGCTGGTGGGTCTGCAGTTCAAGAAGTTTAACTTCTGACTCACCCCAAATACTCGCTTTCTGCCAAACCTCCACAATCCACCTCACACAGTCTCATCCATCTCTCCCATGGCCACCACCACATCTGACTCACCCCAGCCCAGAAGCCCCTTAACACAAGCCAGGAGAGAAGAGGGGCCCAGGCTGGGGTTCCCCGTGGGTAAGGCCAGCCTTGGGGTAGGTCCAGTCCTGGACCTAAGACACTGGACCCCACAGGCCTCACCTAGCTGTGCCTGAGGACCCCGAAGGCCTTCCAGCATCAATGATGGAGAGGGATTCTCGGAGCCAATCTACCCCTAGCTTGGGATCAGAGTGGGCTAGGCAGAGGGATCAGGAGTTGCTCTGAGGACTGGGATAGGAGCACAACTACAGATGGGGTGGGCTACCTTCTGGGCTCTGAGCTATGGGTCCCCACCCTCCTCTGGGAAGACATTGGAGGATGAAGAGGAAAGGAAGGAGCCAGGGGCTCTGTTGGAGATAGAGGCCATCCCAGGTTCACACAACCTCACGTGCGAAGTCCGGGCTCAGGGGAGTCACAGATACCAGGGACCGCCCGTCTCTGAAGATGCACGGGATAAGAGGCCCAGCTGACACTGGGACTTTGCTCTGCCCTTGGCCTGAGCCGTCTGTGCACCTGTTCTTCTGAGAGCCCATCATGGGACACTCAGCTGTCCTTTCCGTGGCTCTGGCCATCCTCCTAGCTTGGGGGAATGGGGCTCCCATCCTCCAGGAGCGCCCTCAGAACAAACTGCTCCTTGTGTCCTTTGATGGCTTCCGCTGGAACTATGACCAAGACGTGGACACCCCCAACCTGGACGCCATGGCTCGCGATGGGGTGAAAGCACGCTACATGACCCCAGCCTTCATCACCCTAACCAGCCCCTGCCACTTCACACTGGTCACTGGTGAGTGTCAGCCTCAGGATGATGCCTGGGAGTAGAAGGCCTGAGACATCAGGCAGGTAAGCAAGAGGAGCCCTGGTCAAAGGTGAGAAGTTCTTGATTCGAGGAGGGAGCTCCCAATGCCATCCAGGGTCCAGAAAAAGGACTCTTAAGAATCCTTCATATTTGTGCCACAGGATCAGGGGCTAATTCCACATCTGTCCCAGCAGGGTGGTGAGCCACAGGGTTCCCAGGACAGCTGAGTGCAGGCTTGCAGGCCTGAATCCCAGGCTTGCCCCATCCATGCCCTACCTCTCCTTCCTCCCTCAGGCAAATACATTGAGAACCATGGGGTGGTCCACAACATGTTCTACAACACCACCACCAAGGTGAAGCTGCCCTACCACACCACGCTTGGCATCCAGAGGTGGTGGGACAACGGCAGCATGCCCATCTGGATCACAGCCCAGAGGCAGGTAATGCAGCCCACCCATAGGGACATTAAGGGGTGGGGAGACACAGAGGCCATGACCAAACCCCAGGATTTCTGGCTTCCTGGTATAGAAGGGTGTTCAGTAAGGCCTCAAGGAGGAGGCAGCTGCCTCTGGGCTCAGCCCATCAGGGTCACAGTCCTGCCTGTCCTCCCTGCCGTCCCGTGATCAAAAGGAATTGTTCTCTTCTACCAAAGAAGGGAAGACCAGAGCTAGGGCTGTGGCTCAGCTGGCACAAAACTGGGCTCTGTCCTCAGCACTGCATAAAGGCAGGTGTGGCAATGCACACCTATAATCCTGGCACTGGGAGGTAGAGACAAGAGGATTAGTTCAATGTCCTCCTCCACTGCACAGTGAGTTTGAGACTAGCCTGGGCTATATGAGATCTTGTCTCAAAAGAAAAAAGAAGGGAGGGGAGAGAAAGCCATGTCCTTGCGTGCTTTGGCTCTGGATGGGTCAGAGTCACACAGGGATGATAATTGTGACTCAACAAGGAAGTGGTTTGCACAGAACTGCCTTTATCTCTTCCCAGTCGCACACCTGGGCAGCCTAATGCTAAGGGGCTGAAGTTTAAATAGGAGGTGGGGTACAGTGTTGGGTCCAGGAATCTCCTCAGTTTGCAGTATCCCAGGGCTCCCTGGTCCCTGCTGTGATGCTTCTAGCCACTCAAGTCAAAGACCCTCAAGGTCAACCCCGTGTCCCATGGTCCCACTGTAGCCTGAGTGGCTGCCTCCTGTCACACAGCGCCCAGGGCTCCTTCAACTCCAGAGCAGAAACCCAAAGTAAGAACTCGGTATCTTACGGTGCTTGATCCGGGGGAGAGAATGGCCAGGGGAGGAGTAGATGGGGACATGGGCTTATGTGGACAGAGGGTTGGAAGAATAGACAGGAAGCAGCAAGGATTTATGGGAAGATGGATGAACAGCTTGCGGACTGGAGGGCAGTAGTGGATGGGGCAACGCAGACAGCGGAGAAGACAGTGGAGAGATGCCGAACTGCAGCCGAGCCTCAAGGTGGGGACCCGGAACCACATGGATGATGAGGGCCCCGCATGTAGGGGCTTCCTTACCCATGGTCTCAGTGCTTGAGTGCACCAGGTGCTTGTCCTCTCTGTGGACTGTTCCTGTTCCTGATCTTTGAAGTAGAGCCATTTCAGAAAAGAAAAAAGAAAAAGTGGTGGGTGGGAGCGGGGATGAGGGAGAAGCAGGAGGGCTGGGGCAGTGGTAGTGTGGGTAGCAAAGTGAGCTAAGGAGTCCCAGGGCTTAATGCCATCTCACCCTGCAGGGCTTAAAAACTGGCTCCTTCTTCTACCCCGGAGGGAATGTCACTTATCAAGGAGAGGCTGTGACACTGAGCCGGAAGGAAGGCATCCTTCACAATTACAAAGACGAGAAGGAGTGGAGGGCGAATGTGGACGCGGTGATGAAGTGGTTCACGGAGGAAGACGTGGCTCTGGTCACTCTCTACTTCGGAGAGCCAGACTCCACCGGCCACAGGTATGGCCCGGAGTCCCCAGAGAGGAAGGAAATGGTGAGGCAGGTGGACAGGACTGTGGGCTACCTCCGGGACAGCATCAAGAGCCACAACCTCACAGACAGCCTCGACTTGATCATCACATCAGACCACGGCATGACAACTGTGTACAAGAATGCCAGCGACCTGATCGAGTTCCACAAGTTCCCCAACTTCAACTTCGGAGACATTGAGTTTGAGCTCCTGGACTACGGGCCCAATGGGATGTTGATCCCTAAGGAAGGGATGCTGGAGAAGGTGTACAGTGTCCTCAAGGATGCCCACCCCAGGCTGCATGTATACAAGAAGGAAGACTTCCCCAAGAACTTCCATTATGCCAACAACTCCAGGATCACACCCCTCCTCATGTACAGTGACCTCGGCTATGTCATCCATGGGGTCAGTGGGCTGTTGCTGTGTGGCTTGAGGGTGGCAGGCTCCTCCTCTTTCTATAAACAGCACCCCATTTCTAGCTAGCCCCAGTTTGAGGGGGGTTCTGCCACCCAAAGGACACACTAATCACCATGCAATAAGAGTGTGTCTGTGTGTGTGTGTCTGTATGTGTGTGTGTCTGTGTATGTGTGTGTCTGTGTGTGCATGTCTGTATGTGTGCGTGTCTGTGTGTGTCTGTCTGTGTGTGTCTGCGTGTGTGTATCTCTGTGTGTGTGTCTGTGTGTGTGTGTCTGTATGTGTGCGTGTCTGTGTGTGTGCGTGTCTGTGTGTGTCTGTGTGTGTGTCTGTATGTGTGTGTGTCTGTGTATGTGTGTGTCTGTGTGTGCGTGTCTGTGTGTGTGCGTGTCTGTGTGTGTCTGTGTGTGTGTCTGTATGTGTGTGTGTCTGTGTGTGTCTGTGTGTCTGGGTCTGTATGTGTGTGTGTCCGTGTGTGTGCCTGTCTGTGTGTGTGTCTGTATATGTGTGTGTCTGTGTGTGTGCGTGTCTATGTGTGCGTGTCTGTGTGTGTGTCTCTGTCTGTGTGTGGGTCTCTGTGTGTATGCGTGTCTGTGTGTGTCTGTGTGTCTGTATGTGTGCGTGTCTGTGTGTGTGCGTGTCTGTGTGTGTGTCTCTGTCTGTGTGTGTGTCTCTGTCTGTGTGTGTGTCTCTGTGTGTATGCATGTCTGTGTGTGTCTGTATGTGTGCGTGTCTGTGTGTGTGCGTGTCTGTGTGTGTGTGTCTGTGTGTGTGTCTCTGTCTGTGTGTGTGTCTCTGTGTGTATGCGTGTCTGTGTGTGTCTGTATGTCTGTATGTGTGTGTGTCTGCATGTATGCGTGTCTGTGTGTGTGCGTGTCTGTGTGTGTGCGTGTCTGTGTGTGTGTCTCTGTGTGTATGCATGTCTGTGTGTGTCTATATGTCTGTATGTGTGTGTGTCTGCATGTATGCGTGTCTGTGTGTGTGTCTCTGTGTGTGTGCATGTCTGTGTGTGTGCGTGTCTGTGTGTGTCTGTGTGTGTGTCTGTATGTGTGCGTGTCTGTGTGTGTCTGTATGTCTGTATGTGTGTGTGTCTGCATCTATGCGTGTCTGTGTGTGTGTCTCTGTCTGTGTGTGTGTCTCTGTCTGTGTGTGTGTCTCTGTCTGTGTGTGTGTCTCTGTCTGTGTGTGTGTCTCTGTCTGTGTGTGTGTCTCTGTCTGTGTGTGTGTCTCTGTGTGTGTGCATGTCTGTGTGTGTGTGTCTGTCTGTGTGTCTGTGTGTCTGTGTCTGTATGTGTGTGTGTCTGTGTGTGTGCGTGTCTCTGTGTGTCTGTGTGTGTGTCTGTATGTGTGTGTGTCTGTATGTATGCGTGTCTGTGTGTGTGCGTGTCTGTGTGTGTGTGTGTCTGTGTGTCTGTGTCTGTATGTGTGCGTGTCTGTGTGTGTGTGCTTAGGGTGAAGTTTGGTGAGTGACACTGAGCACGGGATAAAGAATGGGAAACAGAGTCCACACCAGAGAGGAAGCAAGCCCGGTGAGCAGGCACTCTAAACCACTGCCTGGGCCAACAGCTCCACCAGTGAGGTAGCATCTCCACGTGGCCTACCAGCTGTTCATTCTGGCTCCATCTTTAGGGTCTCAATTCATAGGTGCTCTCAGAATCCTTCTACCCCAACACTGGAACCTCTCCCTAAGTTCATCTACCCATGCAGGTGTCGGTCCCCGGGGGAACTGGGAAAGAAGGGAAGGGATCATGATCTGAGACCCTGGGCCCTTCCTGTAGAGACTGAGTGTCCAGTTCAACAAGGGGGAACATGGCTTCAACAACCAAGACATGGACATGAAGACCATCTTCCGGGCCGTGGGCCCCAACTTCAAGGCAGGCCTAGAAGTGGAGCCCTTCGAGAGCATCCACGTGTACGAGCTCATGTGCCAGCTGCTGGGCATCGTGCCTGAGCCCAACGATGGGCACCCTGGCGTCCTGCAGCCCATGCTCCGCTCAGGTGAGGCAGGGATGCCCCTACCCTGGGGTCCATGCTGGTATATGCACACTTGTGTTTACACACCTGCAACCAGGTCACTACACATTCCCCAAGGGGAAACCCAGGGGCTGGTGGGGAAGGCTGGGCCCTTGGTCCTCCATGAGTCAGTGAGGTTAAGACTCTGCCCTTTCCCTCTCTCCCTGGACTTCTGCCTTCCCTAGGGTCTGCTCGCCTGCTCAGAACTCAGTCTCTCTTGCTGATGGCACTGACAGGGGTCCTGATGATTCTGGCCAAGGTCACATAATACCCCACCACTCAAGGTCAAGTTCCAAGTCTCTGAAGGCAAAAGAGGCTCCACTCCTTGCTCCCCCACCTGATGTCCCCCCTCCTCAGTATACCCCAACGGCCAGAACAGAGCTGCTGATCCCACCCAGCTGGTGACTGCACCCAGCCTGGTGGCCACAGAAAATTCGGCTCCTGAGGTCCCTTCCAGCTGCTGAGCTCCAGATTTGGAGGATCTTTGCAGACAGACAGCCCAGCAGAGCCCCTGCAAATCCTCCCACCCCCTCCATGCATCCACCCAGAACCTCCCCTCCTTCCTGCCATCATCCTGAGTTTCCATGGAGAGGGCCCACCCCCAGCCTCACACTGAGCTGGCTTGGGCTGCTGCAGGAACCGGCCCCTCTATAATGGACATCCCAGCCTGCCGAAGGACAAGACCACCTTGTTTCTCTGTCCTGTGCAGTCACAGCCCTTGGTGGGAGCAGACGGTCATTTAATGAAACAGAGAAGAAGCCCACTGGGTCTCAGGCTGGCAGGGCAGAGGCTACACAGTGAACATGGCAGTCCATGCTGGAGAGTGGCTCCATCACAGAGCCCCTGCCCAGCATATACAGGGTCATGGGTTCATCCTCAGAACCACACAAAAAAAGAGGGACTGGAATGATTGATCAGCAGTTAAGAGCACTGGCTGCTCTCACAGAGGACCCAAGTTCAGTTCCCAGCACCCACATAGCAGCTAACAACCATTAGTAACTCCAGTTCCAGGGGATCTGATGCCCTCTTCTGGCCTCCATGGGCAATGCACTCATGTGGCACACTTACATACATGCAGACAAAACAATCATACCCATAAAACTGAAAATCATTCATAAATAAATAAATAAATAAATAAATAAATGTAAAAGAAAAGGAAAAGACAGTCCCAATTCTGGTGTTTGTGGCTTAGGGGCCCAAGAAGGCAGACAAAGTGAGGGGATCCACCCACCAGTGACTACGCCCATGGAGATGGCAGCAGAGGGAGCATGGCCCCAGGCGGGGGTGGGGGTGGGGCTGCTACTGAGGTCGCCCCACCTGGAAGGAGCACCTCTGAAAAGGTGTACTTGGGGAGAGAGCCAGCCATGCCCAGCATGAGGTAGGGAGCAGGGATTCCAGGCAGGGACTCTGAGCTTGGCAAGAGTCAGAAAAGAAAGAGGTCAATGAGTCAAAAGGCTTCCTATGAGGACGGCTGTGGGGTCCAAGGACGTTTAGGTGGGGTGCAGCCCCCGGAAGAGGCCACAAGGGGGGATGGGGGGTGGTTGAACGAATGCTCTGACCATGGGCAGAAAACCTGGAGCCAGCAGTGGCCCACATGGGATAATCCATGGGACCAGGAATGCAAGGCTTTGGAGAGAGCTTATGTACAGGACCATGAGAGAGAGCAGATGAAGGGTAGCCTGGGATTTGGGTCCCATGGTGGACAAAGCTGCTCTTGGTGAGAAGATGTGAGAGCCGGGGGTGAGTGTTCTGTTTTGGTTTCTATCCGTCTTCCACGCCAGCGAAGCCGTCACATAGAGCTATAACAGGGCCACGCCTTGTACCCAGGAGCCTGGCACCCAGCATAAGGCTTCAGCTGGCAGTTCACACTTGAGGTTTGCCAGCAGAATAATGGCATGGCAGGTCGTGGGACCAGGTTAGATCCCCCTGCCGAGGGGTAAGGATGGAGGAGAGGTGGGGACCAGCCCCTAACTGAGAAGACATGACAGGTATAGCAAGTGGGAGAGAATGTTCAGTCTAGATGGGACCCCAAAGATCCTTACAACTCCTTCGTAGAGTGAAAGTGCCAAAGCCAGCACCTTTGCCTGCCCAGGACACTGGTGACACAGCAGGGTCTACACTCTGGGTTTACAAACCTGGTCCTGAGTACTGTAGCTCCAGCCCAGTATTTCTGCTTCTAAGGTTTCTGGTCCCCACAGAGACCAAAGGGCAATCACATGCTGCATTAGCTCTTTCTCTGCTGCTATGACAAAAGCATTGACTAAAACCAACTTAGGGAGGAAGTTTCACCTCACAGTTCACAGTCAGTCCCTGAGGGAGGTCAGGGCAGGAACCTGGAGGCAGGAGCTGGAGCACAGGCCATGGAGGAATGCTGCTTACTGGCTTGCTCCCCTGGCCCCTGCTCAGCTTGCTCTCTTATACAACACAGGACAATCTTCCCAGGGGTAGCCTGGGCCACACGGTGACCTGGGCCCTCCCGTGTCACTCAGTAGTCAAGAAGATGCCGCACAGACATGGCTACAGGGCAGTCCAATGGACAAAATACCTCCACTGAGGTTCCCCCTACCCAGGTGTTTAAAGTTGACAACTGAAGCTCCCCAGCACACATGCCCGACTGCTGGAGTCTGGGGAACACTCACAGTCTTGTTCTCCAGCAGGCCAAGGGGTGGGCTTGGCAGACACCAGGGTTCAAACTCTCAGGCAAAGGGACTAAAGTGGGGACCAAGTAGGCACTTCATATCCTCAGGGGACTTTTCTGCTAAGACTGAAATGACCACATGGTATGTTAGCAAAACCTCTCTCCAGACCAAAAGAAAAAAAAAAAAAATCCTGATTTGTAGCTTCTGCCCATTTCTGAGGTGTAAATTCTCCCACATGGCTGACAGCTGTCCACATCAGGCATGCAGAGTTAAGTGCTGTGGTTCCTGCCCATGGGTCAGTGTCCTCCAGCCAGGCTCTTCTTCTCACAGTGTCTGACTCTCACAGAACAGGAGGCCGGGGCTCCTCTCCATCCTGAGGTCTGTGTAATCCAAAGCCAGGCCTGGAAAAGTGGCCCCCTTCCCACCCATCTGCCAGCCAAAGAGAGTCTAGACCAATCTATTGACACTGCAACCTAACACCTTCATCTACAGCCCAAATGAGTCACAAAACAAAGTTGCAAACAAACCTCACAATGTTTTAATTAAGTTTGGGACTCTGGTTGAGCAGCATGTATTGTTAGGCTGGGGTGCATGTAGCCTGGGGTCCTCAGATTGAACACACCTTGTCTAGAGCCTCCCAGCCATTCCCCACACCTACTACATCCACGTGTCCTCCTGGATTCACGGTCCCCAGGAGACACTCCACAGCCTTCCCAGCCTCTTTCCCATGAGCCCCCTCCTCCCAACCTGCCTCACCTGTACCACCTTTCCCTCAAACTCTCAGACATGACCCCTGTTCTTCCAGGAAGCCTCCAGAACTTCTGGACCAGACAGGGATGGGCCCAGCCTCCCCAGCTTACCAAAGCCAAACCTAGCAGCAGGAGTATGTCTCACACACACACACACACACACACACACACACACACACACACCCCATAAGCCTACAAGTGGCCATTGTAAGGCTGGTAATAAAACCACCTGCTCAGGTTTACCACTCCAGATCAACTGTTGGTCTATCCTCATGCACCCTTCCACCCAAACACCTCCCCTGACTAAGCCTGGACCGTGGAGGGGCCTCTAGTACCTGTCCCCACAGTCCAGCCGGCGGCCACCGCCTTGGGCTTCCAACATCTGCCACAAGAGGGCACTGTCCAGCAAAACACCCTGGGAACAAGGGACAAGTGGCATCACTAACACCCAGACACTGGTATTTGCAGCAGCCAAATCGGGGAGAGGGGACCGGGAACCCAAAGGCTTCTTGTTTTCCCACAGCCCACCCACTACCGCACTGTGTCATAAATCGCCAATTCCTTAAGACAGTGGCCAAACACAGGAGAAGGGATTCATTCTTGCTGAGGGTAGGTCCTCGGGACGGCCAGCTGACACTGGCACAGGGGTGGGCGCCACACTGAAAGGAAAGGAAAGGAATGAGGAGGCCCTTTGTGAGCTGACAGGGAGCCAGTGTCTGCGGGCCACAGCACTCAGCAAAAATACACAAGGTGGAAAGAGCAAACCGTCGTGTCGCTTGGCTCTGGGTGGGGCCTGAGTTGGCCAGGTGCCCCGGTTCCCTGTACCGAGCACCCTCAGTTCTGTGTTTCAGGGACATGGGTTTGGAGCAGGCAAATATGGACTGGCCCCCCGACAGGCACTGGGGCACTGGTGATGTGGTGAGCTCCCCCAGGGAGGGCAGCACCAAACATACAGTACCCAAGCAGGTACTCAGTGCACAGTAGCCATGGGTTAATCACCACCCTGGTGAGGTGGGGCTAGATCAGCCTGGTCCAGCTTCCTCCAGAACAACTCCCACATGCCAGACACTCCTGGAGTGACAGTTTGTCAGCATGGGCCTGTTTCCCTTTGGGGTCGCCTGCCTCTGCTTTGACTCCAGCCATCAACCCCTGAATCCAACCCAACCTGCCCCCTGCAGCTCCCTGCCTGAACACTGGGGGCCGGTGTCCCAGCCAGCCTGAGAAGCACCTGGGCTACGACCCCTGGAGAACACTAGCCCATGCCCTCTTCCACTGCCTGCACACACACACACACACGCATACATACATGGGCACACACATACACATGCACAGACACATGTATATACATATAGACACCTGCACATATTTACATAAACATACACATACACACAGACACACATGCACAGAAACATACATGCATACATACACACATACATACACATACACACACACATACACAGAGGCACAGGTGAGAATACATTCAACTGCCACCAGTCTGCCCGCCTGCATCAGCTCTGACTCTGTGGTTGGGCCCCAGCCCTGCCTAGACAGGCCTCTCTCCAGTCTCCGCCCTTGGGAGTCTGCCCCACCTGGCTGGAGATCAGGTAGTGGCCACATCCACCTAAAAATGAAGTGGAGAGAGCAACGGAGGAAACACTGGATAGCTGGGTGCTCAACTACCTCAGCCTTCAGACTCCAGAGGCATATTGCCTCCTTCGGACTCCAGGATACCCACACTGCTAGTCTCCTTTCTAGGGGTAAGACAACACACATGAATCACTCTCGGCATTAGTAACAGTAAGACACAGAGAAAAATAATCTTCCTGTCTCTCCATTAAACATCCCTTACTCCAGATGTTGGGTGGCCCAAGGGTGCTTCA